AGTGGACTATATTTATCTGGACTATTATTAAAAGATGGAAGAGAATCATGGAATTTACAGAGGTATAGTGCCTGTCAAGTCTGTATAATAAATTGAACTTAAGTCCAATAATCATTAGTGGCAATGAATCATTGCTGCATTTATTTGAAAGCCTATGTGAGACTTCTGGCAGTCTTAGCCAAGTACTTAGCTGAAAAAAATTTGGACTATATTTATCTGGACTATTATTAAAAGATGGAAGAGAATCATGGAATTTACAGAGGTATAGTGCCTGTCAAGTCTGTATAATAAATTGAACTTAAGTCCAATAATCATTAGTGGCAATGAATCATTGCTGCATTTATTTGAAAGCCTATGTGAGACTTCTGGCAGTCTTAGCCAAGTACTTAGCTGAAAAAAATTTCTGCATGACAAAACCAATCAGCATGATTAATCTGCATGCTGTTGGTAAACTCAGCATATGAACCGTGGACTGAAATATTCCACTACTATTCCATGGTGACTGGAGTTGAGGAAGCTAGTGAGTTATAATGAGTCATGATTTGTGACTCTAAGACCCTAGAAAACGTTATTCCACTATCATACTACGCAGATGCTGAGAACAGAGAAAATGCAAACTCTACCCTCAGTCCAAGAACAATGTCCCATAGATAGTTCTGCTAAGCTAAAACATTCTCAGTTTAATCATTATAAATGATGACACATAAATCTTCACCATTAGCTTTCTTTTTAATGGGGATGAATGGGAAAACTGATGTTTTCAGATCTCTTGTTTTCAATCTGTTTAACATTAATCCCTTCAGCTCAAAGCTAAGGTACAAAGGCAGACTTTGAACATGTGATTAACATCTTTTGATTCCTGATGATTTTAGGCTAAAATAATTCCCCATTCTTGTCAGTTGTTCAAACAGGACAACGACACCAAAAATGCTGTTTCCAAGAAGGAGGAGACAAGAGTTCTGCTATGGCTTCACACTCGTGAACTGTAGAAGTAGGAGTTTGTTTTCTGATTATAAAGACCGCATCTAGAACTGTAAAATATATGATAAGTGGAAAACATTCTTTGTAACAATGTGCATCAATGGGGAAAATAACTTCAGGAAATAACACTTGGTTTTTAAAATAAAGTGAATAGGAGAGAAAATCTAGATGTTATTCAGCTATAAACACTAACCTTCAAAAATTCACCACAGTAAAAGAAAGTACACTACCGTACTTCTTCTGTATCTGTACCCTGTCATGTACACACACATACACACAAATACGATTGTGTTCATAATGATATATTGTTGTTGTTTTTTTTCAGTGCCTCTGCAATTGTGTATATGGCTAATATGCCGACAACTGAATTGTGACATTTGTTGAAGATCTCCAGACTATGACCTCTCTAGTCAGCACTTCTCACCTCCAGCTAGCTGCTTTTGCTTTTGGTACAATAGGCTGGATCTTATGCACTATTTCAATGGGACTCGTGGAATGGAGAATATGGCACGTGGACAACACCACCATCATCTCCTCTGGCATCGCATGGGTGGGCATATGGAAAGTTTGCTTCATCAGTTACCTCCATGTCTCCTCTGAACTTAAAGAACAGGTCTGTCATAAAATGAATGATTATGAGACCTCCATCCCCCGTGAAATTTTTGTTGCTCAGGGCCTCCTGCTGGTTGCCATGGTCGTCGGTGCACTGGGGATGGCTTCCACTATATTTGCTCTGAGGAGTATATACATGGGAATACTTTACAAAACACAGATCATCCGTTTTTTCCTAGCAGCTGGATTCTTGTACCTCACTGCAAGTGTTTGTGTCTTAATTCCAGTGAGTTGGAATTTCTATTCTGTAGTGCACAACCAAACTATCTCCTTTCCCCCTTCTTTCTATATGCCCTCCAGCCCAGTGGCTCAGGAAGTTGGTGGGGCTATTCCTGTGGGGATCATATCTGTCATCCTGCTCATGATGAGTGCGACTTTTTCTCTTTCTTACAGGTTTCCTGTCACCCCAAATGATGGGGTGTAATCCTGATTACAGGGACTTGAACTTCCCAGAGACAAGTGGAGCACAGTTAAAATATAAATATAATGGCCTAGGAACCACAAGTTAAGGCCTTCTCTGGATCTTATTCTAACTTACAAGGGCACTAATATTTGGACAGTTAAATAAGATGAATACCAGTAAAGTCCATGGTTTGTACATTTGCATATAAAACAATTAGTCTATTAATTGTCACACATTATCAAGGACCCACCAATAAGATGAATGGTTGATTTGTTCTGCAACTACTGGTTTTGAGTATGTGTTATTATCAGTATGTATGGATCTTTGTATTAAAGCAGAGGTCTCAAACTTGTGGCCTGAAGGCCATCCTGCAATCTGGCCTGGGAGGGGCCTGTCTATTCCCATCATCCAAGCCCCACCTATGCCCACCATCACCCTTCCCTCACCCCTCATGATACCCCATCCCCTGAGGATGCAGCTTTGGGGAGCACCAGGGGAGGTGGGTCTGGTCTGCCCCACACTCTTCACAAATATGGGAGCTGTGAGGATACTCAGTAAGCATACATGCTCCACTCTCCCATGGCTTCTGCTTCCATGGGGAGAGTGGAGAGACCTACCACTGTTGCCACCCAGTGCCAAGTCCCCCTGGTAATCCCTGAATCTGTGTCCTTAGGGAATGGGGTGCTATGGGGAAGAGGGGAGAAGGCAGGGTGGTGTCAGGGCAGTGTTTAGATGATAGGGACTCCAGCTGGGGCTAGTCCATGAGTTGGCTGTTTGAGACCCCTGTATTAAAATTTAGAAAAACAAGCTGTTTAATATGTCCAAGGAATGGATTTTATCCCACTGAATTAGGTTCTTCTACTATAATTCACTTTGCACTATATTTTCTAATATGAACTTGTTTTGTTTTTGCTTCTGAGATATTTTTCTCCTGCATAAAAGACTTTCAGTGGACATGTCAAGTATGCACCATAGTGAAATTCAACTTGAATATCAGTACAGTTGCATTATATGAATCTCCATGTATAGTACTAAGCAGATCTTACTAGTTTCTCTTCTATCTACAGGGTGCCCTCTAAAGTTGAATGTATTTGACCCTATATTTATTTATATGCCCTTTCTTTGCTTGCTGCAAGTCTTCACTGGAGATATGGTGTGTCGTCAGTTCCTCCTTTAAATAAAAGGTCCACAAAGTCTGCAAACATACATTTCCTGATCAAAGACTGAAGTAATTCAAAAAGGAAAGAGGAAAACATCTTTGATCAGTGTCACTATTAGAATATTTATGCCAGAAACTGTTCTTTCTACCAACAGGCATAATGAATGACATTTTAGATGGCAGCAACTATTTTGTGTGTTACTTGGACCTTTTTTTTTAAATGTCCAAAGCACAGCAAATGTCCAAAGCACTAGAGAAGACCACAAAAATCAGGAGTTTGGAGGCATGACTAAGCCACAGTGGAAAGAGGCCTTTTATGGAGTACAATCCAATGAGAGGCTCTGAATTTTCAAATCAGTTACAAGAGGAATATAAATGAACATGCACAAAGATCATTGCTTTATTTACAATGTGTTTTCTAAATACTCATATAAATGTTAACAGTGCAAGATGTAGAATGTCAATTTTTCTGGCTGACAGTTACAGTTTAGTTGTTGCTTTTCATTCCTAATTTCTGAGGTTAAAAAAAATGAAAAATGATGAAAGCAAAGACAAATTATTGCAAGTCTACCAATTTTCCACTTCTGCAGAGAAATGCAACTATAGCCATCTTCTCTCTCAGCCAATCAAGTTTACTTCCTTTTCCATTCCTTTCAGGGTCCTTTCATTGCCTGTTTTGGCCAATTCTACCTCAGTTTCACCTATGCAAACCCCATTGAAATCATTGGACAAGGGAGTTTGGTTCTTCGTTGACACACTGTGACTTCCCCTAATCTATCCCATGAACCTGGCTTCACTCTCCTATCTTTGGATTTCCTCAACTGCTAGAACGAGCTTTCTCATTGGTGCTAATTTATGGTCTTAACACTGTTGCAAAGGGAGCCTTTTCTTCTGTAGTTATTCATTGTCAGTAGAATATCTCCAAAGCTCACCAACAATCCCCCTTCCTTTTTTAATCTCAGAAATAGTAGCTTATATCTCTTGTGTCGAACTAGAAATTTCTTTCATCTTCTGCAATTATTTATTATTTAATACTAAATCTACTTGTGACAGCATCAAGCACTTTTGAATAGGTTTATGAAACCAAAAGAATTACAGGTGGAACAGATCTGTTAGATTATTTATTAACCTGCTGCCAATAAAAGTTGGAGAGGCTGGCCATCAGGGTGGCAGTGCGTAGCCAGCACCCTCCCCATCCCCAGGGATGCAGCAATTCTGTCAGCCCTCCTGGAGGTTGGATGTTCATGATACACTTTGTGTATTGTTTTATCCAGAATAGAAATTTGTTTACCTGGAACTTTTAAAACTATCAGTTCTCCCAATACATTATACAGACTAAAGTTACCATTTTACTTATATTTGTACCATTTCAAAATAGAGAGGGATGTGTTTGTGTGTGTGTGTGTATGTATGTATTTCATTAAGGATTAAATTATAAATATTTTCTAGCAAAACATTTTTTTTAAGTTTGAAATGGAATAAAAATAAGCAGTAACACAGATGTTGATGAGTTTATGTGGAGGTAAAAGTGTGCAATTCCAACTGTTTTCCTTGACCACTGAACCATTAGGTTGGGTTTTTATTCATTCTTCCTGGCTAAAACAAAGACATAGAGAAATATGGGTATATGTTGCTGATGTTCCATTCAGTGCTAATGTCTGTTGATTGTATCCTGAAGTATGACTTTGAAGCACAATTTGTATGGAACTTCTGAGCTCTAAAAGGGCTTGTCACAGGGCTAGCTCCCCCTCAGGCTTACAGCCCTGTCATCATCGGGGTCACCCACTCTGCATCACCTGCCACCACCCGTGCCCTTTTGGTCCATGTGCCTTCGTTGCGCAGTTTTTGGCTTTAGAATATCCTTGCTCCAGCCGGGCGGCCGGTAAGGCCTAATCAGCGGCGAGGCAGGAGGGGGACTCAGTCCCGCCCCCTTTCCAAGTCCCAACCCAGGACCCTAAAGGCAGACTGAAAACGTTGCCTGGTTGGTGGGGGTTGCCCGTAACTCACCAACCCCCGCGGCTGGAAGCGACTTCGGCGCTGACCCCTGTCCTGGGCCTCTTCCCCCTGCTTGCCTCTCCTCCTCTCCCTCTTCAGCCTCCACCCTCTTTAAACTCCCCATTGGCTCTGGCCCCGCCCCGTTCCTCCGGGTGCGGGCTGATGATGTCAGCTGACGTCTCTCCCGGGCCGGCCTTCTCTTGGTTACATGCATCTCCCAAGCAGCCCGGACAGAAGCGGTGTGGGACCGCCTGGCCACCACGGGGGGTCCCATTCCCCACGCCGGCCACATCCTCTGGCGAGCTCTCGACTGCCCCGTTGCCCCCAGCATGTCTACAGGCAGCCAGGGAGTGTGGGGAGCCAGGGCTTCCGTGCGATCAGAGCCCAGTGCCCCGTCACAGGGCTACACTGTAAAGTCACAAGGACTATGATAAAGGTTCCTCATTGACCCTCATGAGAGAGATAGCCAACCTGACAAAAATCTCTGTTAGAAGTTAGAGCACAGATTTCAAAGGCTGTTGAATGAGCTTCTTTGATTATTAGCTTAGGGTGGCACCCATTATTTTTGGATAATTGGGGTTGTGTGCCTATGTTTATTCCTGAAACAGTATTTATTTCTTTATACGTATAAATGCATATATTGTTATTTTTAAACCTGTCTTTCTGTGCAGTTCCAATTAGTATCCAACAGCAATAGCAAGATTGTCCTTTGTGTGTAATTATTAAAACATAGGTCTGTAGTTAAATACCATAGAGTTTTAATGCCCTGTACATCTCCCAAAGTAGAAATTAAATCTGGTCTCATTGATATCAATGGAAAAATTCCCATTAACTTCAGTGAATCATAGAATCAGAGAAGATTGGAGACCTCTAGTCCAGCCCCCTGTTCAAAGGATGACTAACTCCAGTCAGAACAAGATTTTACCCTAAATTTTACTGAATGTTTTGCTTATGCAGATGTCCTTGGAAATAGAAGCTGTTGGTTTTTTGAATCCACAAATGTGGTCTTAGTTTCTCAGCTGTAATGCAGGCTTCTCCATGCTACTTTACTACAGGTTGGACTTCCCTCATCTGGCACCTTGGGGACCTGACCAGTCCCGAATGAGGGGAATTGCCAGACCATCAGAGGTCCCTCCCATCATGGCCCGTGCTGCCCTGCTACCGCTGGCTAGAGCTCCAGCCCAGCCAGGGCTGGCCAACAACATTTTGGCACCTGGGGCAGTATGCCTCCATGCCACCTTTTCTCCTGCCTGCCTGTTATGTCTCTTGTGCTCTCCTTCCTCCAGCACAGCACTCCACCAACTCTGTGCATCTAGAGCAGAGAGAATACACATGCACCAGCAGGAGAGACAATTTTCTACTCTGGGTCCTAGTGGTGTCCACCCCGCAGTCTGGCACCTGAGGTGGCCGCCTCAGTTCGCCTCATGTTAAGGCGACCCCTGAGCCCAGCCCCATCTGCTGCCTGCCCGGCCGGGGCTCCCTATGCTGGAGCTCTGTGGTTGGGGCTGGAGTTCTTTGGCTGCTGCTGATTGTCCCCTGCTTTCACCTGGCCACAGGACCAGAACTCCCTGGAACGCCATATGCTCTTCTGCACCCCTCCCCCCCCCAGGACTGGGCTCCCAGCTGAGTTGTTGCCGTACCTCTCCCCTGTCCCCCCTCCCCCATGGCCCAGCCTCCCTATTCCTGATCTCTGTGGTCCAACGTTGATGGACCAGAGAGTGCTGGTTAAGGGAGGTACAACCTGTAATAACCTTGAAACTCACCTGTTGAGTCCATCCTATCTAGGAATAGCTCCATATTAGCTCAATCTACAGTCCTGTTTTATATTTTCTGATGGTGGTTTGGTGTTCTGGATTATCTACCTGAAGCTTTCACTGGTATGACAAATGTTTGTTTAGGAATTTTTCTTTGACTAATTAATTCCATAGAATTATAGACGATCAGGGTTGGAAGGGACCTCAGGAGGCCATCAAGTCTAAAACCCTGCTCAAAAGCAGGACCAATGCCAACCAAATCATCCCAGCCAGAGCTGTCAAGCCTGGCCTTAAAAATCTCGAAGAATGGAGATTCTACCACCTGGCTAGGTAACCCATTTCAGTTAAGAAGGAGAGTACATCTCTTTGACATTTTAGAATACTGATTTGTTTGTAACATCTGCCTCAGTTGTATATTTGTTGCTCTGATATCAGTTGATAAAATAATTGACATCACTGGGAATTGAAATGGGCCCTAGCAGTCTGTAGACACTGGAAATGAGTCTCTGAAAAATGTTTGATCACACAAAACTTTCAATAAAAGTAACGGCCAATGTAAAATGTAAAAGAACCTACCATGCCACTTTTTA